GTCAGGTTAGATGCCATATTGAATTTAACACAGCAGTGATGAATAGACTTAAAATTTTTACAATGGCACACACCATATAAAGGGCCCATATCACGTAATTTTCAGTTCCTCACAGTCTTGTTTTCATTCCTGTCAAAAATGAAATATGGCATTACTCTGACAGGTCTATGCAGTTCACCTCAGTTTTTCATGTGTCATAACAGATTCTTACATTTGTATTCCCTCACTTTTAACAAAATAAAGCTATATGTTTTTGGCCCTAAATCCCACCTCACACCCTATTGTACAATGCCCTCATACCCTCAACAAATAAGTATTGCAGTCTGTTTGTTTTTTATTTCATTTTAGGATGCTTAATTTCCTAACTCAAAAATTATTATTTTTTCACTATCAACAATATATAATCGTTGGTGCCGGTAGCCTTGTGGGCAGCGTGCCGATATACAGCGCCGGTTACACTATGGGTGTCCCGAGTTCGAGTCCCGACTGTCTGATCTGTCCTGTCATAATAAAAAAATAAATCTTAAAAAAAAAATATATATATAATCAATTTATATTTCTAATATAACCATCATGACTCATTTTCCCCAGATGTTGAAGACTTACTTTGCTATTGTTAAACACGCAAACTGTCTAATGTTGTTGTTTTTCTTTTTTTTTCAAGGTCTCTGTCTCTAAGAACAGCATGTGTTGAGATTGAGCTCATTGTCTCATTCTCTGTGATACCCTCAATCATTCGTCTGAAGTTTTGATTTGTAATGCAGGAGGATCTGTAAATGTCAGTCAGATGCCAAGGTGCTGTTTTCAGACAATCACAACCAGCAACGTTTTTTAATGTTTACATTTTTACTCTAATACAGATATTTGTGTTTGAGTATTTCAACTGATGCAGGAATTCTCAACCAACATTGCTTTTTTTAAATAATAGACTTGTGTCTTATGATGTAGTCAAATTTCTTTACGTCACTGATGTGGAGTAAAACTATGTTATTTTAATGGGGTCATATGATGCGATTTCAATTTTTCCTTTCTCTTTGGAGTGTTACAAGCTCTTGGTGCTCCGCCGCTCACTCAGGCCCGCCGGCCTCCGCTCACTCAAGCCGCTGTGTGTTTCGTTGTGAAAGAGAAACTACTTTGTTTTGCCTTCCAAAAGAGGACACAACTAGAAATCAGTGGTTAAGTCGCATTTACAACTCTGTTCCGGAACAGTTCAACCCAAATATTCGAGTGTGTGCAGTGCATTTAACGGAGGACTGTTTCCTGAACCTGGGAAAGTAGCCTACAATGCCGGCTGTTCTGACTCAAAATATTCCGATGTGTCCAGCGCATTTTATGGAGGACTGTTCCCTGAACCTGCAGAGTAACCTTCAATGGGTCTGTGCTCAAAGGCTGTTCTATAAAACGGGGCAGTTCCAACTTTGCAAGGACAGTCTGGCGCTTCTGAATTACAGACTGTAAGTACGTTTTTTATATTTAATGAATTTGCCACTGATGATTCAAACGCGAGTTTTGAGCAGTGTAGAGTAGCGCTTGTTGTTTGTCGTTTCTCAGATCACAAATGCAGACATGGTTTTATGTTTACGCGGCCCAATACGCAATGCGTAAAAACACAGTATAAGTCATTATAATCAGTAATTATGTCCCCACTGGATGCAACAAATGCCTCGTTTGTAATGGGTTTTATTGGTTTTGTCTGGTCGCACCGGGACACAGCATCACAGTATGGTAAGGGGCGTAACATTTCCGTCACACGCTTCAGGTATTCAGCCAATCACAATGCACTGGATAGCTGGCCAAGCAGCGTACACCTCACTTTTCAGAACGATAATGTTCTTTTTAGCAACATCATATGACCCCTTTAAATCCTTTAAAATTAAGCACTTTGAACAAATGTGTTGGTCTAATTGGGACATGCATGTTGTAGTAAACATTAGTGAAATGTTGAAATGTTAGACTTCCTTCACTAGAGATCAAATAAACATGAAGTGGACATGTTGAGACATATATTTTTGTGGTTTATGGTTTTATTGCAACCTAGTAACAATAAGGAAATAACATCGTTACTCACTAATAATAACTGGGCCACTTTAAAATTAATGCAATATAAGCGTGCTTATTTTTTACTTAAAGGGATAGTTCACTCAAAAATGAAAATTCTGTCATTAATTACTCACCCTCATGTCGTTCTAAACCCGTAAGACCTCCGTTCATCTTCGGAACACAAATTAATATATTTTTTATGTGGATACGTTGTTTTCATTCAAATTAAAGTGTAAACAACGTAGAAAACGTATCTGCGTGACGCAGCTGACACAGAATATCATATGCTGTTTACATTCTAACCCTTTAAATAAAAATGATTTGATATGCCTTACTTTTAGTAATGAGCCCTTTAGCATTTATTTTAAACCATCACAGGGGGGCACCACAGTACAGAGTAACTTTTTTATAAGTTTTTATAAAAGGTATTAGATTAAGACACTCAACTGATCTATATAGGTAATTGCAGCTTGTGAGTCATTTGAACTACAGTGCCTTGCGAATGTATTCATACCCCTTAATTTTTTTCACATTTTGTTTTGTTGCTGCCTTATGTTAAACTCCTTTAAATTAGTTTTTTTCCACAACAATCTACACCCCATACACCATAATTGTCAAGCAAAAAAACTGGTTTTTAACATCTTTGCAAATTTATTAAAAATAAAAAACAGAGTGGCTTATAGACAACTGTGTGAATGTTCTTGAGTGGCCCAGACAGAGCCTGAGCTTGAACCCAATCAAATATTTCTGGAGAAACCTGAAAATGTGCATCTGCCCCCATCCAACCTGACAGAGCTTGAGAGGTGAAGAGGTGAGGTGAAGAATGGCAGATAATTGCAAAATGCTGATGAGCAAAGCTTGTCGCATCAAACAGAAAAAGACTTGAGACTGTAAAGGTGCTTCAGCTAAATATTTAGTTGCAATGTACTTATTTCAGTATTTTATTTTTAATGCATTTACGAAGTTGTGACAATTCTGTTTTTGCTTTGTCAGTATGGTGTATGGATTGATGTGGAAAAAAAGTATTTAAAGAAGTTTATCATAAGGCGGCAACATAACAAAATGTAAAAAAAACAAAAATGAAGGGGTATGAATACTTTCGCAAGGCACTGTAGACATAAAAAAAATTAATCCAGAGTGTTTATGCCCTTGAACTTAAACTAGTTAAATTCTCCAGTTAGCACCCAGTAAAGGAGAAACGGAGGTTGGCTGAATACCATTGTAGAAGCGGAAACACAAGTCACCGCGTCAGCTTTGATCTTACCTTTGGATCTACCCAGGAAGTTTGAGATAGTTGTTTCTCAGGAAACTGTATTGAATTGATTGACCGGCCTGAAAAGGTCAAACCATTTATCAGAGCTTGTTCAAAGGACACTTCACTCAGTGCCACCTGTTTCAAGGATGCAGTCAAAATCAGGGTCCGTTCAGAGGGCATCAAAATTTCAGCAGTTCTTCAGTTCTTCTAATACACTTGGAGAAATGAGCAATTTCAGTGAAAGCTCGGAATGTTTCCTTGCCTTATTAGAGGCCTGAACATTTAAGAGATCCAACTGCGATTGTCCTCACAGGTTATGCATCAATTATTTTAACAATGCATCTCAATAAAAAAATAAATAAAAAAAAACACACACACACACACACACACAAGAACTCTAGCAGTATCATTCAATCTAGATTTATTCATGGTTCCTTCCTGTCTATCTTTTCTCAGGCCCCCAGTTTTGAGCAATCTAAATATTAAATGCTAACCGCCTACAGTTTTGTTTCTTTTCAACATCATGCAGTGAAATCGGAGGCTGCATTTCTTATTTCCTCACGCAAACAGGATTTTCTCACCAAAACAAATATGAGAACGCATCAAATCAATTTTCAGCGGTTATTCTGTTAAACACACAGTAGAAATGAGTATTAATAAGGCAAACTATTTCATTTAGACAAAAACAGTATAACAAAAAAGTGTCATAACACGGCAAAAGCAACATTGCTGATATTGGACTAATAGGATCACGCAAATTTCTGCCTAAAGGGATAGTTCACCCAAAAATGAAAGTTTTGTCATCTTTTAATCAAACATGCATGATTTTCTTTTGCTAAACAAAGCCATTTTAATGAATGTTTTAGCAGTTTTGAATGAAAGTCAGTGGGGTCCAAAACAACTCTGAATTCTCATATGACACGACACGAGGGGGTGTAAATGATGACAGAATTTTCAGTTTTTATAAACTATCCATTTAAGGCAAAGTGGGCCTAGCTGCCTACTACTTGCGCTAGTCATAAAAAGCAGCAAATTACAAATAACTCCATATCCCATACTTCAAACATGAATTCGCTGGCAAATAAAAATGACCTCAGATCACATTCTCAATGTCCTTTTTTCAAAGTCCTCAAATGCGTTTATGCTCCTGACTAAAGACGAGTGTAGTTTAGTGTACTCATAAGCAGTGTTGGGAGTAACGCATTACAAAAGTAATAATATTACAGTAGTATATTACTTTTTGCTGTAACGCAGTAATATAACGCATTACTAATCAAATTTGGGTAATATTATTACTCGTTACAATCTCAGTAACGCAAGTTACAACAACATATTTTAACTCAAAATTAAGTGGTGAATTTACCAACACCGCAAAACAGCACCAGAGAAAAAAATCCCGCGGGTAAAATAGTTTGTCTATTTCCTGATGCTGGAATTAAATGGTTGAGATGACTGCAGAGACGGATTCTACATTTGTGAGATGGACACACTCCTGTTATTTTCAGTTCATCGGAGAAAAGCATAAGAATGCATAGTCAGGTGCAATATGTGCGACACCAAACTCTCAACATGGAGAAATAGCACGAGTAAAACCTGGAAACACCTAGACTGGTGCCACTAACACTAAGCTATCGGAGAGAGAGCTGCGGTATAATGTATTACATTTTGGAAGTAACTTGCCCAACACTGCTCATAAGCGCTGACATTTACGAGTCTGCAGTTTTGCATTCATTATATGAAGCCCTTTATGTGATAGCCACATTCGAATGAACCACAGCACAAAAGGAAATCATAATCGAATAAAGATTCACAGATGTGAATGCCAGTTGTACTGTGTGGGAATTCCGATAAAACAGGCCATTTTCATTTATTTAATGGTCCCTCACTAACGATGCAATTCATTCTATGCACCATTGACTGGGTTTTCAAGGAAACATTGCCAGTAATGTTCGATCGTCTCCATTTCTGTGGCAAACGTATTCTCACCTCTGACAGCATACATCCCAGACTGCATTTTCCCTGTAGACTCATCTATACTGTCATACTTGGAAAAAGTGCTTCTCATGGAGGAGACTTGGTTAGCGAAGTGTCAGATGTCATTGTCCCGCAGTCTTCTCTCTTTGCTATCTATGCGAAAGCTAGGGCGATCACCCAGACGTGGATCCTCCGTGCAACACACATACTGTTTCCAGATCTTAACAAAAGCATTCCGGAATTTCTTAATGCGGAATGCATAAATGATGGGATTGACGGCGGAGTTGCCATGACTGAGCAAGATAGCCACGTAAAGAAGGCACATTGAATTGTCACAACTAGGGCAGAAGAGAGTGATGCAATTCAGAATATGCAACGGCAACCAGCTGACTGCAAACAAGAAGAGCACCAGCGCGAGAGATTTGGCCAGCTTGAGTTCTTTCCCGTAATATCGAGTGGGGTCGGTCTGGTTTGCGGTGACCTTCTTGTTGAGCTGCTTGTGGATCATGTAGAAGATCTCAGCGTAGATGAGCAACATGAGGACAAGCGGTGGCAGCACCCATCCGAAGAAGTTGAAGTAGACCATGTACTCCATACTGATGACATTCTCGAATTCACAGGTTACGAGAAGGTCAGCACCCAAGGTGCCGTTAGTCTGGCGTAGCTTCTCCAGATTGTTCCAGCCCAACATGGGTGTCAGGCCGACTACGATGGCCACCATCCAGCATGCCATCACTGCTGTGCCAGCACGCTTTGGAGTCACCACTCTTTTATAGCTGTGGGAAAAAAACGAAATTTTTAAACAACTCAGAGAAAATGGCAATAGTGCCCGTCTACTTTTTCCCATAGGGATTTTAAAAAAGGCCTAAGAGTTATGATCAATGAACTAAACCAACCAGCTACGAGGTGAATGATATTACTAACTTTAATTTGAAGTGAAAAAGTATTTGAAAACTGGACAAAAAGATGAAGGTACAAGACTGTGTACTTAACGGCTTTAATTTATTGCATAATACTATGCATGCAAATATTTAAATAATTTGAGAGAATAGTTTTCATAAACTGACACAATTCAAACTACTTTATATAGTGAGATTGCTCTTTTTGCGCAATTTGCTTGTTTAGATTCTCTGATTGGTGGAGATTTTTTTGAAGGATAATGGGTAATGTCATTTTTCACCAGGAATTCGGCTGGTGAACATGATCATTTAAAAAATATATTTTAAAAAAGCCAAAATTATGCAGGCTGATGGCTTCAACAAAACCACCAACCTTGTAGTTCACATTGGGTCTGTTCAAAATCAGGTCCCTTATGGAGAACATGAATGGAATTTTAACACCCTGTTACACTCTACAACACTGAGAGTAAAGAGGAAGCTTTGTAAAGGATGCTGAACCATGAAAATGACTAAGATTAGGCCTATTTCTGAGGAAGTACAAACATAAGTGAAATTTCTTCAAAATCTGTTTTGGAAGTACAATTTATCTGGAAGAAATAATTGAAATCCCTGTTATAAATATGGAAATCTAAATTAAAAAGTGCTGAGCTGAGCCACTACACAAACTGCTGAGAAGGATTACATTTTGATTAAGTCACAATCCCTTCTCTGTGAAGAGTAGAAGGTCTTTTCAGACAACACAAATGAAGCTAGTGAAGCACGCCATCCACTCAGCTGGCAAATTGGCACTAGTTGCTTGTTTGACAAACTTGTGCACTTATGCACTTGTCCAGTGTAATTACCTCAGACTTGTATGTTATAATCCTATAAGCATGTCATTCTAGCTGTTCTTCTACACAATCAGAAGTAGCTAATGCTGCAAAAGGGTCTTTCTGCCTAATTGTTTTGACTCATATAATGTATTAACTCTGTAACTCCAACTTCACATTCAAAGGGAGGCCATGGACAGGACAGGAAATTAAAAACTGTGAAAGAGTCATGGTTTGAAGGTGACTTTGAAAGTGGATTCCATAACACAGCAATAAATTGAGAAACACTGCAGCCCACGGCAAACCCACCCAGGTCAAACATCACTGCATGGTCTGAAAGCAAAGGTGCTACCTTAGTATTGCTCATTGTCACACTGTTTCTCAGTCTCTAAATTAAGTTTTTCATGTGAGAAGTATGAATCCATGCTAATTAAAGAATATGCATGGTTGTTTTCTGTTTTGAGTAGGCCTAAATCTGCTATAAACGGATAGGCTAGTTCATCCAAAAATGAACTCAAACTCGTGTTGTTTCAACCAGCATGACTTTCTTTCTTTCATGAAATTAAAAAGGAAACACTTGAATGTAATGGCAATGAATTGTAACTGAACATGTCAGCGTTAAAAGAAAAAAAAGCATAATAAATGTGGTTAATGTGTTCTATATTTGAAGGTTTCTTGAAGTAGCTATTTAGCCTACACAGTCCTTTCACTACATCTCATTGGCATGTTCATCAGAGTTCAAAACAATTTGTAATTTATGAACAAAACATTTACTGAATTCGGAAACGTATACTACATTTTAGTCTTCTACCATACATTAAAAGTAAGAGTATAACTTTATATCTTTCTAACGATTCGGTTGATCCAATTCACAAAACCGGCCTGAATGATTCGTTCACGATTCGAACCGTTCCGGTTCACGATTCAAACATGATCCGGTCACAGCCGTTACAGAGTGAAAGATTTTCAAGAGTACGATAGCTAAGACTAAAATTTCGGTCTGTTTCTCACACAAAGTTATTGTATGACTCGAGAAGATTAAAATATGGTGCATAAATAAATGTTATGCCACTTTTGTTGCGATTTGGGTTCTTTTTTAGGCTTGACATGGCAAAATTAAATTTTAATTGCATTGATATTCTTTACAAATTCTCCTTTGTGTTCCACGGAATGAAAACAGAAGTCATACGGGTTTGGAATATCACACAAGGGTGAGTAAATGACCATTTTAATTTCATTTTGGGTCAAATATCCCTTAAAGACTGACTTGTGGTAAGCAAGTCACCTCAACTTCAGTACATCCTCCACACTGATGACAGGAAACCATCATGCATTCAGAAAAAGAAAACAGAACTGGAAATATGAAATGAAAATCCCAGTGAAATGAACAAGCAACCCACATCTTATTACCTCATTGGTATCTTAACCCTCAGATAGCGGTCAATAGCAATAGCCAGGAGGGCGAGTATTGAACTTTGCGTTAGCACCAGGACAGTACATACAACGAGCAGACAGCTGTAAAAATGAGTCTTCAGTCCGATGCTTATAGTTATGGCCAGAGGAATGACAAGTGCCCCGACAGCAATGTCCGCCAGAGCCAGACTGACGATGAAATAAATGGTCGTGTCTCGTAGAGATCGGTTGATTCTCACAGCCCAGACCACCATCACATTCCCAATGACAGAGGAAAGGGCGATGAGCACCTCCATCCCAATGTACAGACCCAGGACACCAGGCATCCTTGCGAGGAGTGCGCGTGCTTACGTTGAACAGGATAAAAGATTCCCCAGATTTTTTTTTTTAATGAAAAGACTGCCGGTACGTCAAACGAGTCCAAACTGTCGCTTTATTCTGGTGTACATGTCGGTGCCAAAGTTACATGGCGCAGGGTGAAAAAATAAATTGGGTTTCCTCTCCGAAATGCGTCCGCGGCACCACGATCATCCTCATAATCATGTCCGGGTGTGCAGTCCAGCTCCACAGTGAACTAGTGTGAGTCACTTAAGACCGTCCACGATCACATTTCCCGCACATTACACGCAGTCACAGTTCATCAGAAGCGATCTGCGCGTGACTCAACACCTGTGCGGCAGAGTCAATAAAGACGGCTCTCATATGGTTCAGAATTAAGCCCGTACATGTGTCTGTCGATGCCGATAAATCCTGGGAGGTCTGACGGTCGGTCACCTTAACTTGGAAACGGCGCAATAACGCGCACATCGGCTCCACAGACAGGCTCCTCGCGCAGGCCAGCGCGTCCGACGCAAGTTTCACCAATCAGATGCTACGAGAGCAACAGCGCCTCAATAATGATTGCAGTTCATCACTCAAGTTGTTATTCACATCTGTTATATTTGAATTTATAAAGGCTGCGTCTCAGATAAGTTGCTAAATAAGATGCTGGATGCTAAATGTATATGCCGAAAATGTTCCTATGCAACAAAATGTCTTTCTAATATGAAGTGTTATGTTTTTTGTTCGAAGTGCCAGTGGAGGCAGTCATGCTAATGTGGTGCTTTACAAGAAAGTGCATGCAAGCAAATATCTATCTATCTATCTATCTATCTATCTATCTACAGCATACGGTATAGATAGATGTATTTATAGTGTATAAAGAACCCTTACTCATAAATCACTTGTAAATTTCACAAAAAAATGACTAAGAAACAGCAAGTAACACAATTAAATGAATACATTTTTAAGTATATAAAAAAGTATGACATTTTTAAGTATAAAAATCAAAATAGTATTTTCTTGTAAAATGTACAAAGATGGTACTTTTTAGTGTTTAGAACTTAAATACTGGCAATATTTATGCATGTGAATGGGTGATTTATGATCACACATTCTTTACTAAAGTAGGCTATTCATTCTTTTCTTAAAATTTAAGCATACATATTTTTCTTTTTTTGAGGTTAAAAATCTGTGCCACACGTGTCAGTTTGAAAAGGCACAACACTTCTGCTTGAATGCTTTTTAGGCTAATAATACTGCTGGCAAAAGCTTGCACAATAGAAACAGAAGAATTGGTTCTCTTTCAGCTTTATTTTGAAGAAAAATATGGTGACAGCTATGAGGAAGCTGTCTCAGCAGTTTTTAAATATGGATATAAAAGTTAAGTAATATTCTGATGGCATAGAGAAAAATCAGTCTGTAAATTCCTGGTTGTGTGTGTTCTGTAAAGGGCATGAAAATACCATTCCTCATGCCTTTTCTCCTTCCATCAGGTCTACAAAAAAGAAAAAGAAAGCTAGAATGACGTCTATCACCGGCACACGCTTCTAGATTTCATGAATGTTGAGTAGAATTGATTATATGAGCCAATCACTTTTCATGGATGGCTGGAGCCTTTGGCTGGTGCCCACGCGGGGGGTCTTACAATAAACCCCTTCTGAAAAGCCTCTATCACAGACAAACAGCCCGGTGTGTGCTGCCGTTCTTATTGTGACCACCGAAAATGAGACGTTTCGAGCCAGATTCCTCTTTGAGCAGTCATGCTAAGCAGGGTTGCCTTCAGCGGGGTACAGATGAGACACAGCGGGGCTGCTTATAAACAGAGGACACACATCATGAATTTGCGACAGGATGTTTTCCTGCCATTCATTACTGTGCCTGTAACCCCATACGGCAATGCTTTTATATTTTTCCAGCCAAAATATATTGTAAATAAATGCTAAATATATTTTGTAAACATTGAAGGTAAATAAAGTATTTTGATATAGTTTTAAAACTGAAAATATATTTAGTTTTTAACCTTCACATGCCAAAATATATATTTTAAAATGTATTTTAGGGGCAAGAAAATACATTTCCAATCTTACAGTAGTCTACATTTAGGCTAAATGCAAATGTGGATGGAATATCTTAGTTCAAAACTAGATTTTAATATTTATATATTTATATACAGTATATTTATATAGAATATATTTATGTATGTTTTTACATTGAAAAGTATGGTCCTTGCTGATTTTTATTTAAATATGTTATATGTTCAGAATATATGAAGGGCAAAACATATTTTTAAATATAATTATATATTTTTAAATATATTTTCAAAAACATAAAAAATGGCCAAAAATTATATTGGCTGAAAATATGTTTACATACATATATTTTAAAACATATTTTAGCAAATATATTTGCTATACGTATATATACAGTATATATATATATATATATATATATATATATATATATAGAGAGAGAGAGAGAGATAGATAGATAGATAGATATAAATATATATATATTTTAAATTAAGGTGATGCACCAAGATAACACTGAGCTACTAATGGGTTTCCTGTATTTTCCTTCCTTTTTGGTAATTTTGCATTGGCTTTTTATACCAAAGCAATCAGAGGTGCAATCTAACACAATGGACAGTGAGGATCAAAAGCATCACAGATCTGATCAGAAAGGATTTTATGCGCTTATTGGTTCCTTCATCAATCATACTGAAATTGTATTAAGTGAGAAGAGGAATAGAGGTTCATTTTAAGACTCTCCTGGGCAGGAAAACAACAGCCATTTGTTAGATGCAAGCAGGGTTTATCTGTAAAAACCGTAGAGGAGGGGCTCACAATTATTCCTCTGTATGTCTCAATATGGCATGAATGCCAATGACAATGAAAACAGGCAGAAGAACTGTGGAGAGGGCAGATATTGGTCTTGTGTTTGCCTGACGTCATTCAGTGTTTTTCTAGAGTGCTACATTTCAGGTGTGCTATTTCGATAGATGGTGTGCAATTTGAGCTTTTGTTCTAGGATTTTTTTTGGTTGTTCTTTCCAAATGGACTGCAGTAATGGCCTGTAATAAGCAGAGCCACATATATTAAATGGAATGGACTGTTGAATTAAGTGGAGCCTTAATGGCACAGCAGCTAAAGAAAACGGCCATTGAAAATTAGGAGTGAGAGAAGGTATAAAATCTCAATGGGGAAAAATAAATAATTTAATAAAAATGTAGAGTGTAAAGTTCACATGCTGGCTTTTGCAGAACAACATAATTATCCAGGTGTTTTTTATTCAGCACCCACCAGAGCAGTAATTTAATGCCATTAAATTATGTCACCACTGCTTTTTACAAAGAAAGCTGTTATCAGTCCACTGCATATAAAAGGCTTTAAATCAATAAAAGTTTTGTGACTCACCCTTTGAAGTCTAAAGAGGTTTAAGATACAGGACTTGGACAAAAGAACGTGAACAACTTTTTCTTTATTAGAGTGTTTCACCAGCATTTGCAATAATACAGCTTTCTACCTTCTTTGAACTTTGAACAGAACTTTGAATAGTCTCAGTGGAATGTTCTCTATCAAAACATCTTGAAGTTGTTGAAGCAGGCGATCTGCTTCTCTTCTCTCCAAAACTGTTAACTGATAATATTTGATAATAAAATCAGGTGATTGAGCTGCTAGATGTTGAAGTTCATCTTGGTGCTCCAGCTGTCCAGGTTTTATGATTATGACTCCATTTTGTTCACATTTTAGCATTGGTGTCAAACAGGTGAATATCAAGGTTTGCTGTCACTTTGCTGCAGGAGTTCTGTGTTGTTTGGACACAGTGCTTCTTATTGTTTGATGGTGCCTTTCAGTTTTTGCCCATTATTTGTCTTTGCTGATTAAGTCTTGCCATGCTTTGTGTAAGCAGTTTAAAGACTGTAAACACCAAATAATTGGGCTGTTGGCGTTACAGATGCTCCTGCTAAATGGTCTTCCATGATTTGCCCTTTTATGGAAGTCTAAGTCACCCATTTCACCCACAGCTTATATTAAACAATGCTGAAGAAAACTTTACACTGATATACAACTTATAGAATATAGGCAATAAAAAGATAAATCCCAACATTTGTTTTATTTTTCACTGTAGCCTTTACAAATAATAGTAACCCCTATAATAATGGGTAGTCCAACTCTGTAATTTTTTTTTTCCCCATAATGGCTAATTTGTGAAACATCTCTCTGAATGTTTGAATAAGCCTCTGGGACTATACTTTGCTTCGCTTTCTGCTGTTGTGCAAATCGTGCCGTCTGCCAAAACAAATATAAAACCTACGGGATCAGATTTCTCATGTACTGTATCTCCAAACTGAGGGTAATCTCTCAGTTGGACGCAATGAAAAGCAGACCTAAATGAACAGTCAGATGACACATACAGTTACGCATTTATGTCTGGAAATTTAGTGTGTAAGCTTCCGGTCAGATAGGACACTGGACTTTGATCTATAAGTTAAAATTGCTTGGAATACCTCAGAATTACTGTAAGATATGTATGAATCATACCATTGACTACTCATAGTGGATGCCGTTAGAGAAGCTGTGAATGTTTAGAAGGAATTTTGTGGGCTAAATGCAAAAGTCAAAGTGTCTATGATAAAGAAAAGGAATATTCTAGTTCTTAGACATTTACTCTTTGTATTTATGCTGCCATGGTTATGGATTTTTTTTTATACAATTTTAAAGAAAGAAAAATGGAAAGAAATTAATTCAAATTATTAATTTTATTCAGCAAACAAAAATGTTTTAAACTGATCAAAATTCAGAGTTATTCACAGTATACTTTAAGGTTTATAATGCAAGTATATGCTGTTCATCAAAGATTCATCAAACAATTCTGAAAAAATTTATTAGTTTCCACAAAAACATTAAGCATGACAAGTGTTGTCAGCATTGACAATAATGAGAAATGTTTCTTGAGCAGCAAATCAGCATTTAGAATGATTTCTGAAGGATCAAATGACACTGAAGTCATGATGCTAAAAATGTATCTTTGCTTCACAGGAATAAATTACATTTTAAAATATATTCATATAGAAAAATTTAAACTTTAAACTGTAATAATATTTTACAAAATTACTTGATCAAATAAATGCAGTCTGCATAGGAAACCTTTCCCCCATTAAAAATGGATTTGGTCCCATCTCATAATAATTTACTAACAAATAGCCTTGTCATGTCAATTTATCTGATATTTTAAGAGACTTATTGACCTTGACACACAGTCATGAGGATCTGAAGGCATCCTGTCTATAAGAGAAGAGATGTATTCAAATCACTCATATGAATTGTACCTTTAATGTATTTTAGAACTAATTCATTAATTGAATTAATTAATAGATGCATCATGCTGTTGACTCAAAGCCAACATGAAAAAAAACAAAAACGTTTTACTTCTTTTTTC